GTTGAAGCATGGCTCTGCCTTTGAGGAGCCGGCACCCACCTCTCTGGGCCTCTGGAGCTCCCCTGTGGCCGCAGGGACAGCTGCGGGCAGGAACGGGCCCTGAGACTCAGCTGCCCTCTGCTGTGAGTTAGTTAATGAAGGGGCCCGTGGGCTGGAGTCTTCCTCAATCTATAGCAGCGGTTCTCAACCTGTGGGTCGCGGCCCCTTTGGCGTCGAACGACCTTTTCACAGGGGTCGCCTAAGACCATCCTGCATATCAGATATTGACATGACAATTCCTAACAGTAGCAACATGACAATTATGAAGTAGCAATGAAAATAATTTTTTTGGTTGGGTCACAACATGAGGAACTGTATTAAAGGGCCAGAAGGTTGAGAACCACTGGTCTATAGGGTGCGTTGTGCCAATGATCTCAAGGTTTCCCTCTGGTGGTAAGATTTAGCGATTTTGTCTTCTGATCCCAGTACAGATACAGGTGTTCCTCTGGCCCTGGAGACACAGTGGGGACTCACACAGCTTCCATAAACCCTTCGTTTCTGGGGCAAGGGTGGGTATGGGGGGTGCCAGGGGAAAGCGAGATGCTGCTGGTAATCTCTACGAAGAAATGATGGGCAGGGCGTGTTCTCTCCTGTTGGATGGGCAGTGGGTGGGGCCCATCTGTTCTGTGCGAATAGGAAGAATTGAGTCCAGGGATGGAGTGGGAAGCAAAGAGGATTGCAGAATAAGGTCAGCAGGACCAGGACATTTCGCCTGAGTCTGGCCAGGTCGCCCAAAGCTCTCCGTTCCTGGCACCCTGGCACCAAGCTGGCTGACCCGGGGCACCCAGCATGAACGCAGCACTTGGCATCACGTATTCTGTCTTCGTTCTTCACCTTTATCAGGGATGGTTCTCACTCTTCTTCCTCATCACCAGAGGCTCAGTTCAGACAGCTTTTTCTTTCCCTCTTTCTAAACAATGGCCTTATGGAGACGGGACCCACATACATAGAATTCACTGCTCCACAGCATGTAATCCAGTGGTGTTTAGTATATTCACAGAGGTGTATGCAGTTTTTCTTTTCTGTACCTGGAGAAACAAAATATAAATAGTTTACATGGATTATGATTTCAGATATGTCTGGACTTATTGTTTTCTTTTCAAATTTGTCTACTTACCATGTTTTCTTGTTTGTTTTCTATTTCTTTTTTTCCTTCCTGCCTTTGCTTGGATTTATGGAGTTCATTGTATTCCCTTTTGCCTTCTTATAATTTGTAAGCGACACCAACTTATGGTGGGACATTCATCCTGGATTCAGATACAAACAGTATAATTTCATGTCTACTTGATAGAGGTACTTCTCTTCAGGAAAAAATTAAAGGCAAGTGCAGAGATTACACATCACATAGAACAAATATAACAGTAGGCAACCTTTTAAGTGGGCCACTTAGAAACTCTTTCATGCTCACAGAAGCAGTGTCTGGGGTCAGGTCATCATCATCATCATTTTTTAAAAAATATATTTTATTGATTTTTTAAGAGAGGAAGGGAGAGGGACAGAGAGTTAGAAACATCGATCAGCTGCCTCCTGCACACTCCCCACTGGGGATGTGCCCGCAACCATGGTACATACCCTTGACCGGAATCGAACCTGGGACCCTTGAGTCCGCAGGCTGATGCTTTACCCACTGAGCCAAACTGGCTAGGGCCATCATCATCATTTTAAACTAGAGGCCCAGTGCACGAAAATTTGTGCACTCGGGGGTGGGGGATCCCTCAGCCTGGCCTATGCCCTCTCGCAGTCCGGGACTCCTCAGGGGATGTCCACCTGCTGGCTTAGGCCCGCTCCCCAGCAGATCAGGCCTAAGCTGGTATTCAGACATCCCTCTGGCAACCTGGGAGCCCTCAGGGAATGTCCGACTGACGGCTTAGGCCCACTCACAGTTGGACATCCTTAGCGCTGCCGCAGAGGTGAGAGAGGCTCCCACCACTGCCGCTGCACTCGCAGCCATCAGCCCCGCTTGTGGTTGAGTGGTGCTCCCCCTGTGGGAGTGCACTGACCACTAGGGGGCAGCTCCTGCATTGAGTGTCTGCCCCCTGGTAGTCAGTGTGTGTCATAGCAACCAGTCTTTCTGGTTGGTCCTTCGTTAGGGGCAATTTGCATATTACTCTTTTATTATATAGGATTAATTTTATCGAGGTATAAGCTATATGCAAGAAAATTGACCAGTTTTGAGAGTAAGTTCAATGAGCTTTGACCAATAACTATAATTGTAACCAACATGATATAAAACATCCCATCACCCCGTAAGTTCCCTCACGGCCCTTGGAAGTCTGTATCTTCCTCTGCTATCTGGGCCCTGGACTACATTGATTTTTCTTTTAATCACATTAATATTGATTTTCTAGAAAAGAAATCATACGCTATGTAGTCTTTTGTGGCTGGCATCTTCTATTTAGTAAAGCGTTTCTCAACTTTTTTATTGCCCCCCAGTAGTCTTTATAGACATTTTCCCATAATTGTCCCTCCCCTTCTTATGAAATTTTAATACCATAGATAGGCTGTATGTCAGTTTATGTAGTATATGTACATGTGTGTTTTATACATAAGTAGTAGTTTTTCACACCTCAAGAACAAACTTTTGCCCCCTTGGGGGCGATATTGAGAATACATGATTTAGTAAGATGTTTTTGTCATTCATTGGTATTGTGTATATCAGTAGTTGCTTCATCTTTTAAAAAAATATCTTTTTACTGATTTCAGAGAGAGGAAGGGAATGGGAGAGAAAGATAGAACATCAATGATGAGAGAGAACCGTTGATCAGCTGTCTCCCACATGACCCTACCAGGGACCAAACCTGAAACCCAGGCATATGCCCTGACTGGGAATTGAATGTGACCTCCTGGTTCATAGGTCACTGCTCAACCACTGAGCAACACCAGCTGGGCATTGGTTCATTTTTATTGCTGGGTAATTTTGGTTGTATGAAGAAACATTCAAGAGATGAATAAGAATAATTGCAAATGTGTTATGATGGTCAGGAACTAAGTGAATAATGTAATATCCTTCCTCACATTTGTTCCTGGTGCCAATACACAGATCTCTAATCACACATACACTCAAGTCAGAAATCTGAGAGTAATTGAGACACTTCTTTCCCCATATACGTCCTTCAAATCCTGTCAATTTCATCTCTACATTATTTCTTGAATCTGGTCTCAAGGGATCAGATTTTGCCATAACCCAGGACATTTTAAACATGTAAGGATTTTGATTCTTATCTTTAAAACATAGGAAACCATTGAAGGAATTTAAATAAATTGACTATTGTAATGAATAGATCCTAAATCTTCCATTTAGTGATAATGAGTTAGAATGTAGAAAATGAATTAGAAAGGACCAAGACTGTATAGGGCAGGGGTGGGCAACCTTTTTGTGAGTGCATGCCCAAACCAGCAAAATCTCTGACTCAAAATTCTTCTGCGTGCCAACCCTAATTTTTTGAGAACATATTACACCTACTTGATATCTCTTAAGGTATACATATGTAAAGAACCTTGAAGAAATAATAAAATTCATTCGAGTGACAAAAACACAGTATATGATGATGAAAAATACATTTATTTTTTAATGTATACATGTACACTGATAGTCCGACAGAAAACTTTATGACTCCGTTTGATATTATCAGTGGGACTTTTGCTGCTGCATCACTGATGACAGAGATTTTACATCAGGTTTATACTTCAGAGATATGCACGAGCTACTACTTTCATCCGTCAGGCTACTCCTATTACGAGACTTAACAAAATTCATCATGAGAACAAAGATTCACAAGCGTATGTGGATAAAACCAAAACACTGGTCGGATCTAGGAGGCAGGGAGAGTTAAGGCAGAGGCATAGAAATTGCTCTTCCCCTCTCTCGTCAATCCATGTCTACGGTCTTGAAGATAACTTGTCATGTAAAATTATTTATTTATCTAAGATGCACCTATACTGAATTTATCTGAAATATAAAAAAAGTCAATATTAAGAAAAAAATTGTAAATGGAAGATTATAAGAGAGAGTTTCACGTACCAGCAAAAGTTACTGGCGTGCCATGTCTGGCACGCGTGCCAGGGGTTGCCCACCCCTGGTCTAGGGAAAGGATCATTCAGGAGTCCTGAGGAAAAATAATAGTGGTTCTTTTATGGATGGGAGGTTGGGCGATGGGAGCCTTAGGAGACATGATGTGCTTTTGTGGGGCCCACGGACAAAACTTGGCCAAGGCCCTAATGCTGGATGATACAACTGTGAAATTCAGGTATACTCTCCTCTTGCTTTTTGCTGCCTTGACTTAGACAATTTTTTGCCCCCAAACGAATAAGTATTTTAAATGAATTGAGCATAAATATTCTTGAATCATTTGCTGATGATTTGGAAGGAATTAGAGAATTAGAATCATTAAAAAATATATAGGTTGTCCCCAAAAAATGTATGCACACTTTGAATAATTATTAATTCCGATAGGTTAAATCTGAAAAGGAAGAAACATCCATTGAACTATCAGCTCTTAAAGTATGTATACATTTTGTGTACTTAAAGGGTTCCCTCAACTTTCCATCATCTTATAATTTTTTTCCAGTACCATGTTTCAGCGTCAGACAGCCTGCAATACGGCTTTATGTAAACTGTCTTGACTATGTACACATATACATGTCTCTGGGGATCTCTGCATGAGGTCTTTCACCTACAAGAGATTTAGGATCTACATGTTTTCAGTCTAGAGTCCACAGACACACATTCGGCATAGTCTTCATTTTTTTTTAACATATTTTTATTGATTTCAGAGAGGAAGGGAAAGAGAGAGATAGAAATATCAATAATGAGAGAGAACCATCAATCAGTTGCCTCCTGCACACCCCACACTGGGGATCGAGCCTGCAACCTGGGCATATGCCCTGTCCGGGAATCGAACTGTGACCTCTTGGTTCATAGATCGACGCTCAACCACAGAGCCACACTGGCTGGGCTTGTCTTCATTCTTAAGGCACATCAAGTTGAGGTCGTGTAAACAGGTAAATGACATAGACACATTGCCAGTGCTTGGGGGCGGGGGGCGTGTACACTTACATGGAAGCTCTGGAAGTTCATCAGTTACCTGGGCGCTTTGTCTCTTCCAGGTGGCTTCTGAAGTATGTCTGCCAACAACAGTTCCTGCAAACCTATACTGACACCCCACTTAACCGGGCTCTATGGCGCAGTGCTCGTCGGTGGGCTGGTGGGCGTCATCTCCATTTTGTTCCTCCTCGTGAAGATGAACACCCGGTCAGTGACCACCACGGCGGTCGTGAACCTGGTGGTGGTCCACAGTGTCTTCCTGCTGACCGTGCCTTTCCGCCTGACCTACCTCATCAAGCAGAGGTGGACATTTGGGTTGCCCTTCTGCAAATTCGTGAGCGCCATGCTGCACATCCACATGTACCTCACGTTCCTGTTCTACCTGGTGATCCTGGTCATCAGGTACCTCATCTTCTTCAAGCGCAAGGACAAGGTGGAGTTCTACAGGAAACTGCATGCGGTGGCTGCCAGCGCTGGCCTGTGGCTGCTGGTGATTGTCATTATGGTGCCCCTGATTGCTTCGCAGTACGGAAGTCTTGACGTGTATGATGCGCACAACTGTTTTAACTTCCACAAAGAGCTTGCTTGGACGTATGTGCGAGTCATCAACTATTTGATCGTCGCCGTTGTCATAGCCATTGCGCTGATTCTCTTGGTCTTCCAGATCTTCATCATTATGTCGATGGTGCGGAAGCTGCGCCACTCCTTACTGTCCCACCAGGAGTTCTGGGCCCAGTTGAAAAACCTGTTCTTTATAGGAGTCATCATGATTTGCTTCCTTCCCTACCAGTTGTTTAGGATCTATTACTTGTACACTGTGGCGCTCTCAAGTGACTGCAACAGCAATATTACATATTATAATGAAATCTTCTTGAGTGTAACGGCGATTAGCTGCTTTGACTTGCTGCTCTTTGTTCTTGGGGGAAGCCATTGGGTTAAGCAAAAGATAATTGACCTATGGACTTGCCTCTTTTGCCATTAACCACACAATACAGTGTTCAGGTTTACTTCCTTTACATCAGGAGTGAAAAAGAGTAGAGGGAGGTAGGAAGGATATTTTATTACTTCATTAAGACCATGCCTTGTGGCAGCCAAATGAAAGGACTTATTCATTCCAGTCCTTATTTAGTCCCTGCCATCTCTAAAGGACACGCCCATGCTGAGACTCCTGGTGTTCAGTCCACCTGCAGTTGCAACACGGCGTTGTTTTTCAATGCACAGGGTCTCCTTGGCCCGTCCAAGCATCCTGGGTGTAATGGTTTCTGAGTTTTTCGAGTTTATTTTAATGTCCTGAGTCTGAAACATGGTCTTTCCTTAAGCTTTGAACTGGACTCAGTCCTGTAGTTGGTTCTTTTCATTCCAGGGAAAACCTTAGGTAAATGAATTCTTGGTGTGAGTCAGCTCCAAAGCCCAAGCTCTGCTTTGTTAACAAGATAAGATACCCGGTCAGCTCACACCCGGACAAAAGCAGGTAAGTGGCGGGGGAGGCCAGTAAGAAACTTTTCTGGACTATCATCACTTTGGTAGGAAGTCACTTATCTGGAAATGAAGAGAAACAGAACCCTTGGCCTTCCACTCTAATAAGATTATCTAGACTTTTCCTTTGAAAGGTCAAGTTTAAGGACTTTGGTCAACTCCCTCAATACCTCCAAAAATAATTTCAAGAATTTACTAAATATATATAAATAATGGTAAGAGCATAACTTAGATCAATCTGCTGCTATGCATTAAAATGAGTTCCCAAAGGAAGTACTTTTTTTCCCCTTTTCTGTTTTTGAATAATTTATAGAGGTCTTGGTCCACAGTTAATTTACATTTTCCTTGGAGACAGAAAGCTACGCTGAAATCTTTGAGTTCTCTTCAACCCTTAAAGTTATGGGTCTTTAAATAAATGAAAACAGTATTCTTTAGAATTTTTGAGAAATATGTAGAAAAATCATCTATGAGATTAGGATGCTAAATTAAATACTACATAAGCTTGTGAGTTTTCTTCCCTCCTGCCCATATTTCTACTATTTCCCTCAAACTTTCATAATCTTGAATCTTCCTAAGGAACAGATCCAGTTTCATATTTAATGCCCAGCAAACCTGAAGCAATTCATGGTAGGAATAGAAGAAATGAATAAATTAGGTCATTTTTCCCCCCAGCGCGTTAAATGTCCAGGATTTAAAGGTTTTTCTTAATTTGTTATTCTACCTAGATCCATAAATTTATCAGATGAATAAGAAATACCCGTGTGAGTTTCTTTGATCACTAAAATTACTGAGTCATAGAAATTAACTTTGAGGAAGACAAAGGAGCAACATACTGCATATGTCTTGTTCCCAAATTATTTTCTGGTTTGTTTTTGTTTTTTAATCCTCACCTGAGGATATTTTTCCATTGATTTTTAGAGAGAGAGTGGAAGAGAGAGGGAAAGACAAAAATATTAATGTGAGAGAAATACATCGGTTGGTTGCCTCCTGCACTCACCCTGACTAGAGCCCGGGCTGGGGAGGAGCCTGCAACCGAGGTACATGCCCTTGACCATAATTGAACCCAGGAACCTTCGGTACACAGGCCAATGCTCTATCCACTGAGTCAAACCAGCTAGAGCTATTTCCTGTTTTAATTTTATGTGTCCGCTTTTCTTTTTCAAGTTATATATTTTTTATTTCTTATTTGTATTCTTTCCCCATTTTTCTTAGGTTTATTTTTTTTCTGACATTGACCCATAACATTTGTAAAAAAATTTCTGAGAGCCATAACAATTTTAAGAAAATTTTTAACATCATAAACTTTGTAAGAAAATAATTATAGTAAAATATTTAAAAGCTTTTAAAATTACTTATGAAAAACAGACACATAGACACAAAGAGAGCCCATACATAATTCATGTCTATGTGGTCAATTAATATATGACAAAGGAGGCAAGATTATAAAAGGGGGTAAACACAGTCCATTCAATAAATAATGTTTGGAGAATTGGACAGATACATGCAAAAAAATGAAACTAGACAACTTTCTTGTATACGGTATAATATGGTATATGGTATACCATATACAAGAATAAACTAAAAATGGATTAAGGACTTAAATGTAAGACCTGAAACCATAAAACTTCTAGAAGAAAACATAGGCAATAAACTCTCTAACATTGTCCTTTCTCTGATATATATCCTTGAACAAAGGAAACAAGAAAAAATAAATAAATGGGACTATATTAAACTAAACAGTTTTTGCAAGGCAAAGGAAACCATCAACAAAATGAAAAGACAATCCACTGAATGGGAGAACATATTCGCCAATGGTACATCTGATAAGGGGTTAATATCCAAAGTTTATAAAGGACTCACAAATCAACACCAACAAACAAACAAAAAAACACCAAAATCCAAACAATTCAAATAAAAAATGGGCAGAAGACATGAATAGACATTTCTTCAAAGAGGACATACAGATGGCCAACTGACATATGAAAAAAATGGTCAACGTCACTAATCATCAGAGAGATGCAAATTTAACCCACAATGAGATATCACCTCACACCTGTCAGGATGGCTATTATCAATAAATCAACAACAACAAATGTTGGTGACAATGTGGCGAAAAGGAAACCCTTGTGCACTGTTGGTGGGATTGCAAATTGGTATAGCCATTATGGAAAACAGTGTGAAGGCTCCTTAAAAAATTAAAGATAGAATTACCTTATAACTGAGCAATTTCACTTCTGGGAATATGTCCAAAGAAATCCAAAACACTAATTCAAAAAGATATATGCACCCCTTATATTCATTGCAGCGTATTTATAATAGCCAAGATTTGGAAGCAGCCCAAGTGCCCATCAATAGATGACTAGATAAAGGAGCTGTGGACTATTCCTCAGCAGTAAAAAGGAATGAAATTTTACTGTTTGCAACAACGTGGATGGAACTAAAGGGTATTATCTTAAATGAAATAAGTCAGACAGAGGAAGACAAATATGATGTCACTTATATGTGGAACTTAAAGAAAAAAATAAAACAAACTCATAGATACAGGGAATAAACTGAGAATTGCTAGATGAGAAGGACTTGGGGGAATGGGTGAAAAAAGATGAAGGGAGTAAGAAGTTACAAAATAGTCGGGGGTATAGCTCAGTGGTAGAGCATTTGACTGCAAAATAGTCACCGGGATGTGAAGTACAGCATAGGGAATACAGTCAATAATATTGTAATAACTCTGTATGGTGCCAGGTGGGCACTGGAAATATTTGGGGGGTACACTTTGTAAAGTATATGATTGTGTAACTACTACACTGTACACCTGAAACAAATACAAACTTTTGAAAAAAAAATTATGGGAATTACACTTTCTTTTTTTTTCAAAGCTATGTCTTACATAGCATCATAATATCTGTTAGCTTGTAGACTGTACTATAATCCCTTCCATATTTTAAATGTCAAGGTCAGACAGTTATGCTTTTCTCTGTATTAGCAGATAGATTATAATGAAGGGCCTATTTCTGTGGATCTATAGGAAATGTTATGTTCCATATATCTTATTCAAAAATATTTACAGAATAAACTAAAATTTTTGATTTGCCTGTTCTTTGTCTAATTGTGGTGAAAATGAATCTCATGCAGGAGTGGGGTGACACAGGCCTCCCAGGCCATTTTGGTATATCCTATATAATAAAAGCCTAATATGCAAATCAACCGAATGGCAGAACAACCAGTGAAACAACCAGTTGCTATGATGCGCAATGACTATCAGGGGCAGATGTTCAATGCAGGAGCTGCCCCCAGCCCGCAGGCCCCAGGCCGGCCAAGGTGGGTACCAGCAGGGGCCCCCTGATTGTCCTGCCAGTCGCCCCACAGATCAGCCCTGATTGCTGGCCAGGCCTAGGGAACCTACTCATGCACAAATTTTGTGTACAGGCCCTCTACAGTGTGCGTGTGTGTTTGTGTGTGTGTGTGTTTTAAAGAGAGTAAGTGCAACTTTTAGGGAAATGTGAAGAAAATATACATGGGTATTTTTCTCTTTGATAAAATGAAGGTATTTCCCTGAGCCTGACAACTCTCAGTTTGGCTCCTGGTCTATATCTGCCAGCTTTTGAACCTGGGAATAATACCAGTCCTTGAGGCCCAGGCCAAAAGATTGCTTCTGGCACCAGTTAGATGGCGCTCTCTGCCTTTGTTCATTTCTTAATTTCCTGTGACAGGGTCATTGAAGGTTCTAGCTTTCCTCCCTGACCTCATACATATGAGAGAGAAACAGACTGTTTTACCTGTAGGTGAAATGAGTTTTGTGTGGAGTGATTCAAGAAGGGCTGAAAATGCGCTGATTCTCCCAAAGCCTCTTAGATGGGGCAGAGAGTAGAGCAGTGGTCACAGGGTCTGGGGGGCTGGGGGGGAGGGAAGGGGTGCGGGGAAATGTGGAAGCGTTGGACAGAGGGTACAAAGTTATAATTATGCCAGATGCATAAGTGTAGAGGTCTAATTTACAGGTATGATGACTACACTTACAATAGCACCAAACATGCTAAGAGAGTAGATTTCAGGTGCACACAAAAGAATGGTAACTGTGTGAGGAGATGATGCTAATTAGTTTGACCAGTAATCATTTCACTCAGAATAAGTATATCTAATCAGCAGGTTTTATACCTGAGGTATATTTCATTTTTATTTTTTAAATATTTTAACTGTGTTATTAGCTTCTAACTTCTGTCATATTGAAAATACTCTCAATACAAAGTTTACAAAAACCAAAAGGCAAATGTGTTCTTTATTTTAACACTAGATGGCCCCAAAGTAACAAATTGCATCTGCTTTTCCAAGCTTCTTGAGTTTTAAGTATATATATTTAATGACGGTGAGGGGAGAAAAGAAAGGAAGATGACATAGAATAACCTTTTAGGGTTTTCAGAATTCTGCACTAGATGCTGCTTTTTCTTCTTAAAAGGCATATTTCATAGCAACTCTTTTCCTGTGGCAAGTCAACCGAGAAGATACTGTTAAAATATATCTCTTTGGCTATATGAGCAGAAACAATTCTGAAGGCGGATATTTTGGCTTAGCTCCTATTTGGGGATTATTGTGCTTTATTTCAATAATGGTTCACTGCGAATAATTTTTGAACCCAAAGTAACTTGGTTCTCGCAAATCGGTATTAGGTGACTTTTTTGTAATGTGCTTACCAGTTAGTATAATATTTGAATGCCTTTAAGACAGGGTTTCAGGAAACTGTCCTACATTTGAAACCTTGAAAAGACTGGGGTATGTGACTAGCAAGCCTTACAGAGGTCTCCCCCTCGGTAACAGCCAGCCTTTGGTCCACGCTCAGAAACTTCTCCTCTTCTGACGTGTTGATAGTGTGATGATATATGATTTAATGACTGTTAAAACCTAGATCAACAAAAATAAATGAAGGAAGAAAGAAGAAAGCAAGCTGAGATTTAGCCTCTCTGTCTCAAGGATAAATCTGTGGCTTATCCTGTGGGTGCCGAGGGGAAAGAAGTAAGTGTTCGAGAGGATGATGTGGTGGTGGTGGCTGTTTTAATAACCCCAAGTCTTCAAAAACCTTACAAATAGAATACAAACAACTTGGTTTCCTGGACCATTGCAGGGTAAGTTGTTGACCTGATGCCCAGTGACGGCCTACTAGCTTAGTATGAATTTCCCACAAACAAGGACTATTTCTCCTAAGATCATTACACAACCTTCAAAGTCAGGAAATTAACATTGATTCACAACTACCACCTAAACAACAGACTTCATTCAGTTGTGTTTCTTCAGTCTCCTTCATTCTGGAACAGTTTTCCAACCTTTCCTCGTCTTCCATGGACTTGACACAAACTGGTTTTCTTTTAGTTTGTCCCAAACAGCTCTTCTCGCCCACCGATCAGCCCTTCAAGTGACCATCCCATCAACAGTGTATCCCTATCACACTCTATTCTATACCTGGCCTCATTTTTCTTCACACTAGTTCTACGCTCTGGCATTCTATGCTACGTTTATTTGAAATTTTAAAATCAGCTTTCTCTCTTCAAATGGAATGTCAGTCTTAAGACGGCAGGAATTATTTTTTTGGTTTGGTTAAAGTTCCAAACCCAGATTATAGAACAGTTCTTAGCAATACATGCTCATTAATTATCAATTAAAGGAATGAATGAATGAATCCTCCAGGGTTTGGGAGAGAGCAAGAGCTTCCACAGACAAAAGAATAACTCACAATGTACCTTTCATTACCTTTCATAACCAAAATTTACAGAATACTTGTTATGGCTCTTAATTGCATTTGCAGTGTAGCCATAAGCTACAAAACAATTTGGTCCACTCAAGGAATAAAATCTCTCTGTATTTTACTGGCCTCAGTGATAAGAAAGCTTTTCCACTCATTTCTACTCATTTCCCAATAATAGTTGCTAAATACAAGCCACTCTACTACTGACATAGGCCTTTGAAAAATGAA